ATGGAGTGTGTCTTCACCCGGCAGTTATTACTGCAATTTGAACCATTAGTTAAGCTGTGGTAACGTGACTGCAAGCTAGAACTGGTTCTGCTTGTTGAGGACAGGAGTAAACTTTGGGCCGATTACCCATATCCAGCAGTGCTCGCTGTCGTACAAGGGAAGCCAGCGCTATAACTCATAAGGCTATCATGTGTTTCTCCAACTTCAAAGTCATGCTCAAGCCTCAAGATTTCAGCTGAGAATAAGAATTGCCAATTGTGTAATGCATCACTTGATTCCTAGAACTTCCCACTTCCCTAACAATGGAAATAACTAACAGGAATGTGCTATCTGACCTGGCAGGGAGGCTTTGATGTCTCCTTCTAACCTTTCCAGTCTCTCTAACCTCTTCCACATAACCTGGATGACTTCCCCCTACCCAGTTGCATGGCCTAGTCATCTTCTGTGGGTTATCAATACCCTTTGGGTTCAAATAAAAGTGATGGATCAAGAGATTCGTGTGAGAGGTCTATAAATCTGCTTCTCAACAAGTGGAGACATCCTCAGGCATGACAGTTCCTGTTCTCAAATCACGTTGCTTGGAACAGTGTGCCAGAAGCACGTACCTTGCTATTGCTAACGGGCAGTTAACATAGATCTGTTGTAAGGAGAATGAGTGCGTTCTTACACGCTTTTATCGATTAAGCTTCTTGGAAACTTCATTGCTTTTTGGAAGAATTATTGTAGCATTTCTTGCAAACTTGAAAATAATATCCCCAAGATACTTTGCTCCTGGACACAGCAGCTTGTTTAAACTGGAAATTGTGGCTGCTCAAAGATAATCGGGATTAAAAAATAAACCAAAAATAAACAAACAACTTCCCCCAATTTTGTTGCAAAAAACTCTAAAAAGTCTATGCTAACTCTCCAGGAGGGAAGTCTCTACAGAAAAAAATGTTGAGGCTTCTGTTGTATGACATGACTGACTGTAGCTTGGTATCTGATCCTTCTGTTGTTCCGTGTCTGATGGACTCGCGTTTCCTCCCCGTTATCCATAGGTGCTACCAGTAGGTTCTGAACTTCCGGCTGGCACTCCATCCAGTGAGCCGCTGCCACCTTTTCCAGGACCTTCACTAACTCAGGTGCTACAAGACTTGGCAGATTTCATCTGCTGCTTTTCCTTTCAAAGAGCATGTTTCGATTAAACTCTCCATTGCATGTTATTAATGTCTTTGTTTTTCTTTTCTTTTGACTGAATAACCCCTTTTGTGTAACTGTAGCAGTAGCCAGAGTCACTTCAGCACTGGATATGGAGCTTGTCCGTCGGGTCCTGTACCCAGTGCCTGAAGTACAGGAACAATTAATCAGGCTTGGGGTTTTTTAGTGAGTTAACCTGAACTTGAGAGGGTTTTTCTAAAACACAACACAGGTGAGTGTGTGCATAAAATTTGAACCTGTTTTCTTCTTGAAAATGGTGTAATGGGAACAAGGAACCCTTCAGCGAAGCGGTATGTACTGCAGTTAAATGTGAATGAAAATGCAAATTTGCTGACTTTGCGAGTTGTTCTGGGGTTTTTTGCAGTTATTACTACACTCTAATTTCACTAGGCTTTCAGATTTAGAAAAGGCATTTGGAGCTCCTGGTCATAAACATGAGTTGAAATGTAACAATGGCTTCCCTTGCTCAGATTCTGTCTTTGGATGTAATGGTTAGCTTGTATATTTTGTATGTAAATTGGATCAGCTCAAGACCACAAAGATCAAATCTGTCTCCACTTCTGTTTAGAAAATAGAAAAAAGCCCGCTGTAATTGAAAGAACTGTATTAAGACAAAACTTCTAAATGCTGTGTAATGAGCTGTAACACGGGAACACTGCACTTCAATATGCAAAGAAAAGCTGAAAAAATAACTGAAGGAAACCCTTGAGACCATGAAATAGAGTTGTGCTACTTTGGAAAGAAGTCTGTGAATAAACACAAAGATGGCTTTCTATAGAACTATATTAAAGTACAGTTGGCACAGAATTGTCATCCCAATTTTATATTCAAACCTTTAAAGAAGATATGCACATGGGTACCTAGTGCTGCCTTCTTAGGCTCAGAGTAAGTAATTTTGTCTTAAATCTAGTGTTTCCTGTGTACATGTGCTTCTTATAGTATTAACCTCTTTGGCCTGTGGCTTGAGTCCACAGTGAATAGTCTTAGAATATATGTCCAAAAGCTACACTTGAATTGGGGTCTGTGCTTTTATAGAAAGGAATTATTCACTGAAGTCTTAACTACAATTTTAAAGTAATTCCAATAAAATAGTTACAGTATGAAAACCTGTACAATGCTTTTTAGCATTGTGGCCTGATTTCTTTTTTTTTTCTTGACCACTGAGAATTTTAATGCAGACTGAGCTAACCTTGATAAAGTCCTCTCCGTAACACTTTGGTAATATTCTCCCTCTCATCTCTTGCAATGGAGCTCTTGAATTGAAGTTTCACCTGTGGAAGGGAATTAAAAATAACTTTAAAGGTCATTTTAGTTCTTTGCAAGCTGTTCCTTTTTTGGGATTTACAGTAGCTTGATAAGAAGACTTCTATCTGAAAGGGTTTAAGCTGACTGTCATACAAAGGAATAAGGTTAGAAAATTGCAAATGTAAACTGTGCTAAAGCAACTGCGGTTAATGAGCTGTCATGGCTCATGTTCTACAGCTACAACTGTAGAAACTGAATTACATGTATTAGGGTATTAATCTTCAAAGATGCCATTGGAATAATATTTCTATTTCTGTATTTCAAATGTGAGAACCATGGTATTACTTGTCTCTAAAGACATGAGTAGAGTTGAGCAGCAGGGCACGTTAGCTGCTTTTGTATAGTTTTATGTTGGTTATGACATTAATAGTCCCTTTTTTAACTTTTCTAGCTTTTTTCCCCTCTGGTGCTTTCTATACAAAAGCTCTATGTTTATTCAGCAGTTTCTCTAATTCTCACAGTAAATGTCATTGTTTTGTGGTCTCTTAAGAATCTCTCTTAGACTACGTTTGCATAGGGTATGTCCTGGAGGTTAGAATAGGAACAGGCTAGTGGACCTAAGTTACAGTGTGTCAAAAGCTGACATCTTGTCCTGACTGTTCCTACTGTACCACCTTCTTGGTCTTCATCTGATGGAGCAAATGCAAATCGGTGACCTTAATCAAGGAGTCCTCGCCGGTGGCCTCTGTGTCTAGAACTTCTTGGTTGCCTCTCTTTTTTTTTTTAATTACATCTTTAGTAAGCAATGAGTCCACTGCTTGGAAAGTATCATTCAGTGTGAAATGGAAGAAGTTTATGCTGTTTATGTAAGAAAACTATGAAAATGAATGTATGGCTCTTTAAACCTGTCATGGAAAGGAGTGCTGCTGGATTTAGTTTTATGCAGCTTCTTTCCAGCAGGCTGCAGGAGGGCCATATTCCTGCTCTCTGAGTAATCAGGAAACGGGTATCTTCAGGTTCCAAACTGAGCAAGAAGCTGAATGACTCATGCAGAGCTGTAAGGTGGGATGGTAGTGTTAGCAAGCAATGCTTTTTCTTTTTTTTTTTTTTTTTTTCCCCCTCCAGCTTCTGGAGGCAGGAGCTAGTTTATGCCTTTCAGCCAGTTCTTTCTGAAGCATGGTTTGGCTGAAGAGGAGGCAACAACAATTTGGTGATCATGTGTTCTTACCATGAGCCAGGGTAGCAAATGGATCTGGAGGCAGCTGGTTAAAATCAGTCATGTTAAGTTCATAGTCCTTTATATTGTCATTTCTCGGAACTGGGATATTAGTAATGTTTTCCCCCAAACTCAAAGCACTTTTAGTTAGCCACTTACATGACTTAGGTCACTGTACCACTGCACAAGGCTTCTTCCTGTTTGTCATAGGTATTTCTGGCAGGATTTGCGGTATGGAAGAGGCACAAATATAGATCCATTTCTTCTTGTCCTTTGCAAAGAGCTTACCTAATTTCACTTTGCATTTGAACTCTAAAGCCTGTCTAGGAGTGAGACAAAATTGGAGGAGACCAACTAAATCAAATCTAATTGACTGCTAAGAGCATGTGCTGTTATCAGATAATACAATCTGGAAAATTACTGGCTTGTCTTAGAGTAGATCGGCTTGCCTTCCTTACTGCTGCTGTCAGGAGCTCATTACACAATTTAATTTTTCTTTCCTTAGTACCAGACTCCTAATTTGCAGACAAAGTACATGTCATCTCAAGACCAGTTTTGGACAGTTTCTTCCTTAGTCTTAAATACCTGTTCTGTTTATTCCTTAATTGCTTTTTAAAGTGTATCTAGATTAATTTTTCAAGCTTCATTTTGGTACCCTTGTTCTGTAAGGAAGTCTTTATTTCCTGATCATTCTGATTCTTAGGTCTTTGTTTACTTGAAGCAAGTATCTTCTTGTGAGCATGAGTGCTGAGAATTAGGTAGGATTTCAGGTGAAATGTCCTCTTTATTTTACAATATTACTGAATTAAATTACCTCACTTGTCTACTAAGGATTTGGATTTCTGAATGGAGTCACAGATGTCTGCATCTTCTTGTGCCTTTTTTTTAAAAAAAAAATTTAGATAGAACTGATACAGGGTTTATTGTTCTTGGGTGTTTTGGTTATGTTTTGGAATTCACAACTCGGGAAGGATGTCATCCTGGCAACTTGTTGAAAGCTTCTTTATGCTATTGTGTACCTCCTAACTTTCAGTTTCTTGAAAGTGGAAGGTAATGTTTTTGCCATGACCTCAGCTTCAGTTCTAAAAACAGATCTAGCTTTTTAATATAAAAGACTTGGAAAGATTAATGATGTGAAATTTTGGATGGAAATTTCTACTCCATAGGGTCAGAACTGCAACTTAGTGATATCTGCCAACACTTTCATCTTCCATGTTTCTTATGGGTATGGCACTAAATAATTTTGACTGAATCTGAACTTTTCTTATCTTTACGATATTTTTAGGTGATTCTTCTTCTCTTCCCCTCCCCAATTCAATTGGCCAAGTTTGAAAAACATCTTGGATGCCAACTCAAAAAAGCTGAAATCTAAGTAATAAGCGTACTTGAGAGAGATTCTGCATATCTCCCTTCTTCCTCTTGAAGACAGTCCATCTAGATAGCTTCTTTGAGGGAACCTGAAAGTGTTTTGGGTTTTGGTCTGTTTGGTTGGGTTTTGTTTTGTTGTTTTGTTTTTTTTAAGTTTGTTAGCCTCAATCTTGCTTTATCCATACTTGCTTTTGAAATTGTGGGCATCTTTTTGAATTTTTCTGTGAATTTTTTTTTTCTAATTGACTTTCTTCAAGATTTTTAGATAGTCCATACTACAAACTACCTCTGTTATCCTCCAACCAAAAAAAATGTAGAACTTGAAGGCTTGCAGCATCTTTGCTCAGCTCTTAAGAGTGGGAACGCAAACTTCATTCTAACTTCTGGAAAAACAGAAGCACCAGTTAATGCTTCTTTTCTGGTTTTTACCAAATGTGTTGGTTATATTTCTTCCCATCTTACTGTGCTACACATGTTAAATGTAAACATGTAGGAAGGGAATGTGATAGGAATATGGAAGCCATACTGAGTGCTTTAAATTTTAGTATTAAATATGGCTGTTTCTCAAATGTGATGTATTTCTCCTGAGCTGGGACAGCTGTTTACTCTTTCCTTTCTCAGTCCCAACAGCCACTGGAAGATCTGGATGCTAAACTGAGAAGAACCCTTAGTCCAGAGACTGTTCCGGTGACATCTGCTCCTGCCTGTGTACGTTTGCGATGTTGTCAGTTTAGTAGTCTCGAAAAACTTCAGTATTTTCTCAAGGTTGTGCTCTTAGGGCACTGCCTGTAATATCACTACACCAGTCTTTAGACTTTTAAAAATAAAAATGAAGAGTCATCCTTCCAGTTTGTGGGACTGAGTCAACCAAAATAGGAAAAAGCTGTATGTTGCAATGGATTACGTATTTCCTGAGGCTGCTGTCAGTGTTAGTTCTTAATCCAGCTTTTCGGGTGATGTCATTAATGTAACCAAACTAGAAGGGGAAGTGGCTGTGGAATAAGGGGAAAGAGACTAAGCAAGCAGTATGTGATAGATGGGTCTTAATTTAGGAAAGATGTTTAAAGTATGGATCTGAAATTTTACAAGACAATAACAATAAATTTTGATATAAAGTTAAGATAATGATTGACATTGTGATCTCCCAAGTGGCTACTTATGCATTACTTATGCAAAGCAAAAGGGAATGTGCTGACAGCCTCAGGGTTTAGGGTGTGCAAATCTCTTGCTTTGGAGGTTAAAAACTCTTGCATGTGTCTTGTCGTGGGTGGTACTTTGACTGGGGTGGAAACAAAGGATTATGTAATATGCAGTATGGTGGATTTGCTGGCATTCAATGAAGCTGCTCATTTTTGTTTTGTTTTGTTTTCCCCCTTGAACCTGTAGTCTGTGCCCTCAGTAGCATCCACAACGGTTACCGGGCCGGTGTCCACAGCAACACAATCTCTGAAGGATGGTAAGACAGCCTTGGTTATTTTAGATGGTTTCTTGGCATGGCGATAGGATCCAAAATTGAACACACTAGCAGCTTGGAAGGATATAGCCTTTTTTAGTAAGTCGTACAGTGGCAACTCCTTAAAGATCGTATTAATTTTTAGTAACGAGACTTAAATTTTCCACTGTAGGCCAGGAGAGAGGAATGATATGTGCATATTATAGTAACTCATTTAGGATTTAAAGCTGTCCAAAATGCTAAATTAAGACTCACGAAGAATCTCCAGTATGCTGCTAAGGTACAGCTTCAGGATTTGAAGGAACTGTTTTCTGTCTTGCGTTGTGTTCTTGGCAACAACAGTAAAACTTCTCATTTTGCGTTGTCGTGCTGTGTTCTATATGTAGGACACCTCTTCCTAACCTGAGAGTGTTTCCTTTCTATTTAAATAGAGAAATGAAGGTTAAACTATTAAAAAATTTAAGAAAGGTAGTAGGAAAACCAGACTCCCTTCTGGCTGCTTTAGAACAACTGAAGGTTAGCTACATGGTCAACAGTTGAAGTCCAAATGATCAATGACTTTCAAATGTAAATGAGTTCAGTTGTTGGGGGGGGGGGCGGAATGGACACCACAACAACCTGCAAAGCAGTCTGAGACTTTTCTGTCAATATTCCCCTAATTATTTTAATAAATCTTCCTTTTTAAAAAGAAACCGTTAACATGGTACTAAAATGATTTCTGACCTGTCTAGTAAATGTTATTTAACTTGGACGTGCTTCTGAAGTTCAATGACAAACCTTCAAAAGCTAATAAAAGCAGTAGGAAAACAAAATATTCTCGCTTTGGTACGTTGGTCATGAGCTATACTGTAGAACCCATTTGTCTGTTAGAAAGTGAGTTGGGTTTTGCCTGCTTAAGTTTAGAAGGTAAAAGTAAACAAACTGGGAAGTCTCTTAATAAACACAGCAAGCTGTCCAATAGAACTGTTTTAAAAATAGAATGTTATTTCTCAGCTTTGTAACCTTATGCTGCCAGTGCCCACAGCAACAAAATTAGGAGCTGACACCTAAAAATCTAGCTCTGAAAGCTTCAGATAGACTGCTTTGAGTAAATGTGGTTTATACCATTTCTTCAAGTTACGACTTCTCTTATTAATAAATTGTCCCCAACAGTATTGAATCAAAATAAGCATTTTCTTATATAAATTTCAGTTCTGTTTTCTTTATTCTTTGGCTATTTCACATCCTGTTTGAAATCAGTGTGCTTTTTTTTTTACTGCTATCTAAAAGTACACTTTTAGCAAGTATACTGTGTGGGGAAACTTCATAGAAAAATACTTCATTTTAACATTGCGGTTTGATATTCTGTGTGGTAAAGTTGAAAAAAGAGATCACGCTCCATGAATCCAAAGGCCTGTTAGGAGTTAACTGATAGTTGAGTTTGAAGTAGGTAAAAAGAAGTGGTTGGAGTTAAATAATTCCGTTGCTCATTTTCTTCTTAACCCCTTTCTCCTTTTCCTTAGCTTCAGCATCGTGTGGTGGAGAGAGCAGTGCTATGGGTACCACAGCAGGTGCCGGTGTTCTTAAGATGGGACGGTTTCAGGTAGGAGAGGTTAAACTGAGTTGCTTGTTGATAAAGATCTTTGAGCAGTTCCTGTGTAGTGCCAGCTCGGTGTGCCTCATGGTGGGCCTTTCTGCCAGGAGAAAAGGTCCATGTTGAGCTTGTGAATGCAGTGCTTTGTGCAGATGCTGTTTCATTCGGAGCAGAGATTGCACTAGATGATGCAGGTCTAGAATTGTGATTGCAGCGTTTCATCGTGTCAGGCTTTAGCTGTGTAACTGTTGGCCTTGGTCTTTAGTGTTACCTGCTCTTTGGCTAACAGTGCTGAGATTTTCACTGTATTATGTCCTGTTTGTGAAGGAAGTCCCTCTGAATCTGCTGTGTTTCTTGGAGTTAATCCTCCAGATCGCTTAGAAGTACTATTTTGTGTGGCAGTGCGTTACCTGGAGGGAAGCAGTAGCTTGCTTTGTGGCACACAAAGGAAATGAGTTATTTTCCCCACTCAGATGCATCGTACTATTAAAGTAAATAAAAGCATCACGTTAAGGAAGGAAGAACTAAGAAAGTCTGCATGATTGCATTTCTATTCTAGGTATCCGTGGCAGTGGATGATGTGCTAAAAGAGGGTGACAAACCTGAGACTAAGCCGGTGCAATTTGAAACCACCTCCACTGATTCTTCATCTCTTTCTGGCAGTAGCCCAGAGAGCACACTGGTAAAGCAGGCTGGCAGTCGGAAAAGCGAGGCTGTCGCTGACTCTTCCTTGGATGTGGTAGATGGCATTCCTCAGACAGTTCCTGTGCTGCAATTACCAGTAGATGTTGGTCAGCCTACTAAGGTTGGGCGCTTTCAGGTAACAACAACAACGGATCAAGTGGGGCGCTTTTCGGTGTCAAAGACTCAGGATGAGGTCAGCTATGCAGAGAAAGAGCCAATGACTCTTCCTCTCTCTGTGGGCTTGGAGCAAGTTGCTTCTTCAGCTGCAGCTCCGAAGAAAGAGTTGGAGTCGAGGCAGTCCCCACACATGAACGGGCCATCCTCTGAACCGGAGGCCGCCTTCTTAAGCGGGATGGCTAAGGATTTGGATGACGGCTCGGGGAGCCCAGACTCCCTCCAGCCCCTGGGGTCGAAGATCAGCCTCCCTGTTCAGAGCCTTAGCAACTCGTTCAACTCTTCCTACATGAGCAGTGACAATGAGTCGGATATTGAAGATGAAGACTTGAAATTGGAACTCCGTCGGTTACGGGAGAAGTAAGGCTTTTTTCCTTGCGTGCTTGTGTATGAAATATATGTCACAGGGTTAACAGGAGTTTCATCTGTACTTTACTTCTTTAAAAAAATTTACTTTTGTTCTCTGTGAAGACTCAGCCTTTGCCAAGTGTCAGGATCTGTTGTCGGTGTTTATGTGGGAGGTAAGATTCTTTAGTGGGCAAGTAGTACACAATTAAAACAAAAAAGGTGTGTATGTTTGTTTGCTGTGCTTAATTTTCTAACCTGTAACCTTGTTGTATGTGTTTCTGTGTAGATTGATTGCTGCACTGTGGATAAGACTGCAGATGTATAGAAGCTTTTGTGTATCACTGAAGTTTAGTAGTCAGTGGGGATAGTTGTGTCTCAACTCTCTGCATTTCTAATAAGCATTTCTGGCATTTCTGATGGTTCTTTTCCTGAAGAATCCTTGTTGGTTAGAAAAAATGTTAGACGTCAAGCAGTGTGACCTACTAATTTACTTATACTGAAAGTTGAACTTTTTTTAGGGCAGCTGGCAATTTTAAATCTTGTTTATGCAAGTGCTCTGAAAAGAAAACCTAAGGCAATACCAGTGTAGAAGTCTCCAAGGCTTCCATAAGTCCCGAAACCTGAGTAATCTAGCTATTCTTGTAGCATTTTAATGCTGAATGATTTGATATTCTACAGTATGTTCTTGTTTGTGCTTCCATTAATCTGGTTTTATGATTACAACGTTGGGAGCTTTGTGTTGGAATTCTAGCCAGGGTTAGAGCACAGTAGAAAATGGCAAGTGTTCTGCCATGGGCTTTCAGTGGTTTTTTGTTGAGAAGATTTATTTCCTCCTTTCTTAAACGTTTTAATGAGTTTAACCAAGGAAGCTGGTCAAGCTTGACTGGAGGGGAGGGATTGTATGTATGCACCTATAGACATGTAATTTTCGTAAGTCATACTCTTTTGTAACTTGTTAGGCACCTTAAAGAGATCCAGGAGCTGCAGAGTCGCCAGAAGCAGGAGATCGAGTCACTATACGTGAAATTGGGAAAGGCCCCGCCTGCAGTAATTATTCCCCCAGCTGCACCCCTTTCAGGAAGGCGGAGACGACCTACTAAAGGAAAAAGCAGCAAGTCCAGTCGTAGCAGCTCCCAGGGAAATAAAAGCCCTCAGCTATCAGGTAAGACTTCCTTCAATTTTTTTGAGCAGATAAAACAGACAAGGTAGCATCTCTCATTTCGAGATCTGTGTCTCTGTCTTGTCTTTTGGAGGAGGGGGAGAGTGTCCCAGTTCCTCCACTGCCTGGATTACTAGGTCGGTTTTGAAATTGCTTTTGCTATTTGCTAGTCTTGCTTGTGACTTTTGCAATCTACTGAAAGATATTGTTACATTGTTCTGTAAGAGCAGTTTTAAAGTGTGATTTGTATTTTTTAGAGGTTTTAGAGAAAAGTGTGAATTTACGGTCTGGGGGGAAATTTTAGGTTTGTTTTTTTTTTTCAGGACAAAAAAATGCTCTTGTTGCCTCCTGCAAGTGATTTTGCAGAATGGGGCTGGTCTCTTCAGTCATCTTCAGAGATTATTTTTTTTTTCTACCTTAGTAGCACTTAAGCGTGTTATGACTAGTGGCCTTACACTTCAGGAACTTAGGCACAGGTGATGGATGTTAAAGCAATGATCTTTTTTTTAATGGAGTTGCAATTTTTTTGTACTTAACAAATTGAGAAACAGTTTCAATTGTCAAGGCTTCCTTTCTTACTAAACCAATTTTTATAATAAACGTAACTCAGAAAAATAGTTCTGCTTACTGTTTGAATGACAGCTGTCAGGTGCTTGCTGGGTAATTGTAGATGTCTCTCAAATCCCGTAGCATGGAGTAAACAATATTGGAGGGCCAGCACTGCAAGCAGAAATATTTGTTACTGCTTCCTGCACATTCACTTTGGTAATTCCGCGTCGTGACACAGTTTCTGTATCCAGTCACCCTGGCTGCTCACTTCTGTTTTGCTATATGATAGGGGAGCTGTGTGTGAGCGTGTGACAGTGAGCTAACACAGAGTTGCCTTAAAACTTAAGAATATTTCTAGTCTTAGTGCTCACTCGGAAACTGGAGTAATTCCATCCCCCTGCCTCCCTGTCTCTTGCCTGGATTGTCATGCTTGACCAGAGGATGATACCCCTTTTTCCCCCCACCACAGCATTTTTTCATGTATCGCTAGTGTGACACAGCTCAACTGATCATTTGAGTTACTTGGTAGTGACTTCACTCCCTAGCAAGTGTTCTAGTCAAACTTTCTTCTGTTGTTTTTTTTTTTCTCCTGTCCCTTGGAACAATGGCAGAAGCTTTGAAAATGATGTGGGGAAACTGAAACATTGAACAACTTTTTGCCTTCCTTCTTCCTCTAGGCAATCTGTCAGCTCAAAGTGCACCATCAGTCTTGCCCCCGCAGCAGACTCTTCATCCTCCTGGTAGTGTGCCAGAGACTGGGCAGAACCATTTGTTACAGCCCCTCAAACCTTCACCTTCTAGTGAAAATCTCTACTCTGCCTTTACCAGTGATGGTGCCCTTTCGGTACCAAGCCTTTCGGCACCAGGCCAAGGTAAGACTTTAAGGGGAATTAGTGTCAAGTCTTGCACCTTCGTTACTGGTGAACAAGTGATCAACGAGTGATGTCGGTTGATTTTTAATTTGTAGCGTAAAGTAGATGGGTAGTCTCCAGCCTGCGCGTGGAGGCTGGTGAGGGTGTGTTTTGCAACTAGATTTCTACCTTCTCACATAGGTGAAGAGTGAGGTTGTTGAAGTAATAATAGCGCATGGCCCTGTCTGCCGTAATGAAAGCACCAAGGAGGCTGCAAAGGGGGTGCAGTGTGGTGGTGGCAAGCAGTGTTCTGCTGAGCTGGGGGAAAGCTACTGGCTGCGAGGATGAGGAGGCAGATGAGAATCGGAGGTCAAAAATGTGAAGTGAGACTAAGGAAAGGGCAGAGCAGCTTTGATGTTAACAGATAATTGAAATGTTAGGAAATTTGTGAATGCTCAGAGTCCTTTTAGCCTTCCAAACTGCTGTGGCCATTTCTGTCAATGGAATTTTTAACAATAAAAGGTAAAAATGGCTCCTGTTCTGCAATTGAGTTAAAGAATCATCCTGGAAGGGTTAGTGTAGGTGGATGGGGTAGTAAATTGTTATTTACTCAAATTACTCAAGTTGTGGATTGCTTGTTATTAGTATGCTATCAAATAGTTTCTCAAACACAGCTCTGATTTATTTGGTAGAGGGGGCTTTTTTGTTTGCCAGTCATTAAGGGGAGGATAGCTTGCTTCCTTTACCTCTCTGAACGTACCTGTTCTGGTGGGGTTTTTTCCCTCTGAACATCTTCTTGAAAAGCTTTGCCATAGACTGAATACATCCATTCTCCAATTTCAGCAAAAACACACACTAGAAGTACTGAAAGAAGATGGAAAAAGTCTTTTTTGGAAGCATTTTCCATAGAGGTTTTTTTAATGAACTGTTTCAAGTATTTTGGAGCTACTTGAATCATTTCCCTGTATCTAGAGTTGTGCAGTACCCTTTTATAATTGGATACTTTTGCCTTGCCAGGATTTGGCTTTCCTGTAGATTGCAACCTTGTTGTTGGGTTACGTACTGGAGAGTAACACTGCAGACTTGGCCTAATGTCTGGAGGTGCTGGAGGGAGTCTCTTCAGTCCGTATATTGTCTACATACTCTTTGGTCCACACTTTGAGGCTTATTCTTGTGTGTCATGTTAATGCATTTCACCCTTCCAACCTCAAGTTGCTAACATCTTGTAGTGGTGTTCTGTCTCTTCTCCTCTCCTTTCTCTGTTCTTCCCGTTTTTGTTTTCTCACAGGCTGTGCGAAGTTTAACTGTGCATCTGAGAGAGTGACGTTCAAGCCTGGTGGCAGGAGGACCCGATTTCTGAGTACGCCCTGCTTGGCTCTTTGTGTGTAACACCTTTACTCCTTCCTTGTCTGTTTTTTGTTTGGTCTTTTTGTTTGGTTGTGGGTTTTGTGTGTTTTGTTGTTTTTTGTTTTTTTTTTTTTTCTGCTGCTTGGATCCGTTTCATGCAGCCCATTCTCATCTGCCACCTTGTATTCCCTCCCATCCCATGGCTCAGCTGAGCTGCTCTTAGCACACCTTTAGAAGTTTGGGTTCTCGTGTTAGGTATGCTCCTTTGTTAAACTCATAATAACAAGCACTCATTTTCTCTAAGCTTTTGATGGAAACGTTCAGGACAGTTCAGTGAAATGACAGAAACTGGGGAGAGTTAGCAAGTTGTGGGTGCCTGGGCATTTTCTTTTGGCCTGCCTTAGTAATTATGCTTCAGCATATGTTAGCTGACCTGAGGCTTGGAGGGGAGGTGGTCTTTCTAGCGGAGCAGTGAGGAAGATTTTTTTTCCAAATTATTCCTTTGTTGGACACGACTGTAACTGGTGAGGGCAATATGTTGACTTCCTCTAGAAGTGTGCTTGCTGTGCAAGCTGGATGTCTTTTTCTATGTTCTCAGCACTAGTGCTGAGTACAGTGCAGAGCATTGACGCCACCTGTAGGCAGTTAGTATTGACTACTTCTGTTCGTCAGCAGATGGATAGCTAAAGATTGAAGTGTCGAGGGTTTTAAAAATACTAGAGAATATTTTCAGGCAAACGCAGAAGATACTTACTTACTAATGGGCCCAGATTTAGCAGTTTTTACTGTGAATTGGAGATATGCTAAATGTGCAACAAATAGCAGTAAAGGTGGGTAAATAGACATCTTCAGGCATCCTGTCGACCCTCACAAGTTACTCTGCAGCTCTTTTTGAAATCCTTTCATTTGTGCTTATATTAGGCCAGACATAGAAGAGAGCCTCAAACTTCTGACGTGATTGAAGTAATGATACGCTTGAGCTGAGGCTGCCAATGTGATGCTTTTTATGGGGATTGCTGCAACACCTCCCATGCTGCTTCTGCAGGCTGGACCCTTTAAATGTCCGACATTTGTTTCCCACCCTGTGGAACGACTTGATATGGGAAAGCTTTACATGCTGTAAAGAGACCTTCCGTTGCTGCGCTGCATGACGGTACCACGCATCTGTAGCGTCTGTCTCGCTACAGTTGGCAGTAGCACAGCTGAGCCAGGGAGTTGTGCGCAGGAACTGGGCCTGGCCTTCTGCAGAGACAGCTGCAATGCAACCAGCTCTATCCTCTGAGCAAGCGACTGGCTCGGAGGGAGGGGAAACTTTTTTTCCTGGCTTTTCAGTTTTGCGATGATACCTCTATCCCACTTCATTAGATTTGGGGCTATGAGTATTAATGGTATTTAATTTTTCAAATTGAGCAGCTTTAAATGTTTTTCCTGGGTATGTTAATGTGCAGATGTGTGCTGACATCTGCAATCTTAAGATTTATGGCTCCTTTCTTCGAAGAAGTTAAATTCTTACCAAAGCTAACTTTCAAAAGATCTTTAGTCTGGCCTGTCCTTTTTTGGGGTAGGGAATACAAAGAACAGCTGTTCCGTTTCTAGAATTGACAATGAACCAAATATATGAGAGTATAATTCTCTTAAAGGCCTTGGCTTGCTGCAAATTGGCTATCATCTGGCTATAAGAGTACTTTGGCACGTATATGTCTTGTTTATGGGACTGGTGTGAAGGGAGATGAATTCCTTTTCAAAAGCGTGTTGTAGCTGTCCTGTAAAAGCAGGTAATACTTGGCATGGCGCAGCTTGGCCTGGCACTTGGCTTATTGCAGGTTGCTTGCTTCCTGGAGTCTTGTCCTTGAAATGCTGTTGCAGACTGTTGTGGAGAGTGACAACTGGAGAAGATGCTGGGTTAGAATCAGCGGTGTTGAGGAAACAGTGCAGTAACTGATGCTTTTAACTGTGCAGTTGGAGAAACAGAGTGGTACAGCTTGGCAGGGAGTGTCTGAACAGCTCCACAGATCTGAGAAAATAGGATGACAAACTAAAAGCGTTTGACCTATCAACTAAATCTTTCTTGTGTTGTAAACCAGTCAAAGTGTGATACTTGTAAAATGCTTCCTCCCTCCTGACAAAATGGAAGGTGTACTCGCTTTTTGTTTTGTGACAGTAATGTTTCCTGACATTCTTCACTACCGTTTGGGAATTCTGAAGAATAAATGTAGGAGGCTTGGGCCTCTTCTGTTTCTGGAAGTACAACTGATGGAACTGTCGGAGCAGTCTTTGGGATTTTCCTAGAATGCCCCAGTAGTGACCACAAGAGCCCTGCTGTGCTGTCCTCTGTTTCTCACCAAGCTTTTTGTACTGTTTGCTGATACTAAACATTTCTCACTGTTTCTCTTTATCTTTAACAAATTACTCTCTCTTTGTGCTTCAGGGAAGATGGTGAAAAAAGTCTGTCCTTGCAACCAGCTCTGTAGTAATTATCTTATTTCTGTTATCTCCGATTCCTGATTGTAAAGCTATTCATCAGCTTTTTCTGGTCACTGAAGCCTTACCTCCCTGACTCTGTCTCCAGCACAGCATCTGTCCGTCTATGTTATGCCCTCTAATGTGTATTCTGTTGTCAGTATAGTGAATAGTCTGGCTATTACTCTTGCAGACAAGTGGAGGCAGGCAGAACCTCACCTTCACTGTGGAAGTCTTTGCTCATCCCTAACGAATTGAGCATCAGGGTCAGTTGCTCACTGTAATGTGCTAGAGTTGTGCCTTTGAGCAGCTGGTTTGTTTACAGATCTGATGGGGCTTGCCACCTCAGTGATGGATCCAATTGCAGACACTCCTTCAACATTTTAAGAGTAAGACATCAGAGATCTCCAGTGTGTCTCCCAAAGCAAGAGATGTTTAGAAAAGCCTGTGTGTGCTCATGTCACTAAAGACTGTTTTAAAGGTGTCCTTTGACTGCTGGTTTATGGGGGGAAAATAAAAGGGCAGAATGAAGGCACTATAGGTAGCGGGCTGGAGAGAGAGAAGCCTGTTGCACTTCAGATCCTTCCTGTCAGAGCAGAACTGGGGACGGCTGCTGTGACCGAGCAGGAATGTGGGGGGTTGTTTCATTGAACGCTACAAGTTGAAGCACTTCCTTTTCAGACTCTTCTGGATGGCAGTTTCTGCAGACGGTGACTGTGTCAGAGCTAAAATGTGAAATTCCTGATAAGCTGTTTTTTAAATTGGCATTATGTGGGAGCTTTAGTAATTGTATAGCTCACCTATAATGGCGTGGGCTGGCTCCTCCAAGATAGGAGCTCCCTGACAAAATCACTTTTGGAGGACAAAGCTGTTGCAACCTCCCACCTTTCCTGCCCTGAACCAATCCAGTCCTTTTCAAACACTTAAACTTTCCTGAATGATCCTTCGTATCTTCAGCTGAATGCACTGTAGTATATACCTTGATTAACCTTCTCCCTTCCGTGGCCTGAGGAAGTTCTGCAGTGTAGGTCCAGGATCCGGTGTGCTTACTGATTAAAGTGGAAATGTGAAATAGCAAAAGCAGATACTGGCCATCGTGAAGAGGACGAGAGCAAGTGTGTCAATCCCTGCATGAACCTTCACAGTGGAATGTGATTATTACTGGTTTTGGCAGCATCTCCCAAGTACCTCGTTCTTGCTTTTGCCTCATTTATCTTTAATTTCACCTTTCACATCACTGCTGTTAGTAAATAACTGTATTCTGAGCCCTTTCCACATGATGCATGCTTAAGGTTCTCGTTATTTCACTGTAGATTTTCCTTGCCACGTTACAGTGTGTTCCTGTTACTCTTCATCCGTGCTGCAGCTGCACACCCTGGTCAGGGAACCTTATTCTCTCCTCTTGGTGTGTACTATTGCATGCGTCTGCCTGCCTGTAACAACCGCTGACCCACCTGTGGGCACCCAGGCCGGGACCCACTTCCATGCTTCAGCTGGAACTGGTGGGAGGGATACGTACCCTTCCCTCCTTAGCACTACTAGAGGCAGTAACACTTTGCTTATTTGTCCTGCGTAGTAAGTACATCACCTTCCTAATTCACTCCTCAATATGAAACATTCCTGCAGGGGTTTGGAGCCAGTTCGTTCTTTGATACAGTGGTTGCAAGGAATGTGGCTGGTAGCCAGAGAAAGTGGAACGGGTGAAGCAGCTGTCAGGCAAGAGACAGCAACTCTGTCACTTGGCCTTTGCAGTAGAGAGATGATTGTCATTGCTGGCATTTTTGATGCTCCACTTTTTATCAGCTTTCTTCAGAAGTGTCTGCCATAAACTCAGGGTTTCTTGTATTTCCCAGTTGCAGTCTTCGGAGTGAGCAAGTAGAAATGGTTGAGGAACTTTGAGAACCAAGTAGGTGAGGATGTGTGCTTGCAGGGAGCGCTGGGTTTAGCACTGCAGTGACCAGATACTGATTTTGTTGTTTGGTTTTGTATCAAATGGATTTGAAAAAATCTAGATTGATTCTGCATTTACTGTGTCCTTCAGAAAAAGTCTGACCTAGAGGTTAACCATCACTTCCCAGAGCTGTAAATGAGGATACTTTGCAGTACTGCTGGGAATTTAGCAATGGAATACACCATTTCTTTGGTTCCTGTTATGAGGTCTGCCTCTGAAAAACCTAAATTTGAGTGCAGTGGCTTGGTTTTTAAGTGTGAGGGGGATAGTGAGGCTAACCAAAACAAAGCTGCTAGGTTTGTTTGGTTTTTTTCCTACAGGATAATGTTCAGCAAACTTTGAAGCAGAACTGAAGTGTGGTATTTCTGTGAAGGGTTTCTTGTGTCCTTGCAGTCAACTCAGTGAATAGGAAAAACTTGTCAAAGCCTGTCTGAGGAGCTGCTCTCATTTCTGCCTTCTTTAGGCTGTATTAGTTGTTTGCATCTGAAATGCTTGTTCTTCTGACATAGGAAATCTGAACATAATGGCAAAAAAAAAATGCTTTCAGAGGCAAAAAGCAAAATTTAATGCAGTGCAGACTTCCCCTGCTGATCCTGGCTGTTTGTTGGATGAAGACAGTCCCGTCTGGTTACCCTCAAGAACATAAGTATGGCAGCTCTTGGAAACAACAGTTGCTGTTTCTCACTGTGGCTTTTTTGTGTAATACGGGTGAATTTTTCCTCTTCGTTTTACAAAGTGGAGATAATTTGCTACAGAGCAGCTGGCGATGCTGATTGTACTGCTCCTTATTCAGCATCCAGCACTGTCCTCCAAGGTGGAATTGACCTGTGCCGATAGTGGTTGCTGCTAGTTAAAAGGTGTAGGATGGGTGAATGACATGACCATACTGTCATTCAGTGCTGAAATCTAATCTCCTTTTTCCCCTCTACAAAGACCTGTAGGCCGCTACCATTCCCCTCTTAAGATGGCTACTTGCAGCACTTCTTGAAAAGTAAACACATCTATGAAATACTCTTAATCCGAGAAAATGCCTGTAGGAGTCCTTGTAGTTCCCACTTCAGCGTGTCCTGGAATTGAAACTTAAAATTAATCTGCATGGCATTTTAACTGGCTCTATTGATGTACCATTACCACAATTATCAAATTTCTTAGAGAAAGATGATCTTTAACCGGATTATTGATTCCTGTTTTTTTGTATTTGTAGGGACCAGCAGCACTAACACAGTCGGGGCTACAGTGAACAGCCAAGCGCCCCAGTCTCAGCCCACTGCTATTGCCTCAAGCCGGAAAGGGACTTTCACAGATGACCTGCACAAGCTGGTAGATAACTGGGCCCGAGATGCCATGAACCTGTCTGGCAAGAAGGTTGGCAAAGGGCACAGCAACTACGAGGTAAGACGCAACCTGTGAACATTTACGGTAAGAAACCACCAGTGTCGCTGCTATCTCGCGAGGGTGTCAAACGCGGCCGGAGTACGGTTGCCGTGTGGCTTGGACAGCTGCTCTAGAAAGCCGTTGGCTGCGTCTTTTATGCATGCAGGGTTGTGTCACCTGCTACGGAAGGGAAGGGGGATAACTAAAAAGGAGGGCCGTGGCGTGTTCTCATAAACATCCCTTGGGAACGGCTTGTGGACCAAGGGGTGAGGCTGCGGTTTTTAAGCGCAGTCGGGTAACTCTTCTTGGGGTTTTGGTTTTCTTTCAGGGCCCTGGAATGGCAAGAAAATTCTCGGCGCCAGGTCAGCTCTGTATCTCTATGACATCTTCCCTGGGTGCTACGCCCATCTCTGCAGCATCAGCTACCTCTTTAGGTCCCTTCACAAAGGCGATGTGCCCTCCGCAGCAGTACGGTTACCCAGCAGCATCCTTCGCCGCTCCGTGGAGTGGGACGGGTGGTCCCGCACAGCCCCCGCTCGGCCAGTTCCAGCCTGTAGGTGCCGCATCTTTGCAAAGCTTCAACATCAGCAACTTGCAAAAATCGATCAGCAACCCTCCAGGCTCCAACCTGCGGACCACTTAGCCGCGCTCGGAGACCACGCTGGCTAGACCTCGGGACAGGACGTGGGGAGGGAGATGGGGCCCTGTATCAACTACTAGTGCTGCAATGAACTGGTAGCTTGCCAGACTGGGAATGAATTTCTCTTTTCCAACCATTGCTGTCAACTCTCTGTAAAGGGGGTTTCCCCACACACTTTCAAGGGGGAGGAGGATGATCAGCATCCTTGCGATGGGACGGTGCTTTTGACCGAGGGGTTCTGCTCTTGTATGGAACAAGAGCTGTGAAGAGAAGCCACGGGGTCAGTTAATGCAGTCTTGCTGTAAGATTTCTCTCTGGTTTGAGGCTGAATCCACACGTGTTGAGGTGGGAGAGCTGAATCCTAGCATGAGGCTTTAGCACACTTCTCATCTCTCCCTGAAGAACCAAGTCCAGGAGAAAAGCTGTCCAAATCCCCCTCCTCTCCCTCTCCCCAGTCAATTGTATCTGGCTCCGAAATGGTGGGGCACACGAATGGACTTGCAGTGCAGCCCGTGCTTGATAGGTCATTACTGCTTTAAGTAAGATATTAACAGCTTTGACTGCAGCATTAGAGCAATTTAAATTGTTTAAAAATTTTTAAAAGTTCCCTGCGGACATGTACTTACCATCAGTTTTGATGTGGAAACACTGTGATATATAAATGTTGTTGGACAACAGTAGTTTAAAAATGAGTGGAGTATAGAGGGTTAAAAAAGTTAAAAAGAAAAAAATGGGAAAAAAAGCTAGCTATATCCTTATACTTATTGGAGACACTTTAACTTTTTCCTTTGTATTTTCATTGTATTAGATAAATAAATGTGAATGTAAAATTGTATAAATTAATGTACTTGAATACTTGTCTGTTCTCCCAGTATGCTTGCTGGATATTTTAGTGCCTTGGACTTCTATTGCTTCTGCAGTTTAGCATCGTCTTCCCAGCAGACCCCAGGTGGACAGAGGGCAAGTTCAGAGAGGGACGGATTGTTTGTGCCCAGTGACCGGGACGTCAGTTTGTTTAGTGACACCGTTACTGTCCAGGGTAGGTGTAGAGAGGGGGAAGTCATTGAGGCGGCGGGTCGGAACAGCGTTCTGCGTGTTGGGGAAGCTTGTCCAGGCGGGCGGATCTGAAGTTGCTGGTGTGACAGGGGCCACGTGGGGGTGGGACGGAGCGTTGTGGGTGAGGCTAAACCGAGACTAACCAATATTGTCTGTGGAGGCAGGAGGTCTGGATCGGAAACGGAGAGAGGATGGGGAGAACGTGTATCTTTGGGAAAGGCCCAACTTAAGATGCAGTTTGACTCCACCTGCGAAGTGGTGAAGATGTTTGGTCAGGATGTGACTTGAGGGAGAGGTGCCATTGCTCGTTGGCATGGGCTTGTCTGCTGGGATTGCTTTTCTTACCTTTTTTTTTCTTTCTTTGTTTTTTCTTTTTTTTTTTTTTTTTTTTTGGTAAAATCCATTGAAGCCAGGAATAGACTGTCCTGGTGCAACGTCCATTGCCGGCAATGGATGTACTTGAAACAGCCGGCATCAACAAGTTTCCTCTGTCTTTACTTGGAGGACTTACGATTTTTGTTCACTCTTAACAAATTTCAAGCTGGTACCAGGACTGTAACTGTCACCTCTTGGTAACTGTACTGTACCTTCTGTTTTGGTCATTTTCCCTTTTCGTGTTTAAAAAAAATACTGGTTTCCTCCTCAAAGTAAAAATAATACCAGCCAGTATTTATGTAGTGCTGCAGAAAGCTGTGAGGGATGAGAGTACTGCTTCCCGGTGCTTGCGCGTGGCTCACTGCTGTCCTGAAAGCTGGTGCGTCACAGAGGTGTTACTTGCCTGCGGTTTTTTCTAGGAGTGCTGTTCCCCCGTGGAGCCTTAACAGGGAGTTTTTCTGCGTGCAGACGTTCTCAGTCTTTTATTTTTACAAAGAAACGGGAAAGATCTGTTCCTTTCCCGTCACTCTTTTTTTTTTTTTTACAGCAGCTTCGGCAGCCAGAGGCTGGAGATGAACGCCCGAGGGCGGGAGCTGGTGACGAGGTGGCTAGGCTCCGAGTTCCTCAGAATTGGGGGTTTATTCTTTGTAACTGAAGCGCAGGCTAGGGCTGCGGAACGGGAGACGGGGCTCGTGGTGTGCGTGCAGCGGAAGCCGGCGAGGGAGCAGGGGTCCCGGCGGCTGAAGTGCAAGGGAGAACCTCTGCTCTTCCGTCCGAGTGGGTGCAGGGGAGTTTCCTGAGCAGGCCCCGTGCGAGGGGGGAGGGAGCAGTGACAGACCTGGGGCAGTAATGAAACACGGGGAATATTCATGACAGGGGAACCAACCAGCTGGATGCAGCACGTGGTTATTTAATTTTGATCTGATAAGTTTGAGGTCGTTTTTTCACTTAATGTTATGCAAGAACTGGTTTTATTTACCATTGATTTCCCTCCCCC